ACCCACGATCAATTCAAGCGGCGGGAAAGGTTTACCAACTGGAGGGCTGTCGATAACTGTTTAAGATGCACTGTAGATTTCCTATGCGTGGATCGACCAGCGCCCGGTCGGGTGCGGTGCGGTCTCTGTAAAGCTACAATATAGTTCTACAACTTCACGGTCATTATTAAAGAATTACTGATATAATAATTGTACCAGTTTTTAACACAAGAATGCAGTTGTAACACTTAGTATTTAGATATAAACAGCAGAACATTCAGATGAAACACAATTTAGTGCTGGATATTTAGGATTTTACTAATACTAACACAATAAGACACATGCACAACACATGATCTTGCCTTCATTGGGGGCTTTGCATCTGCCCCTAAAGAAATTGGAAGGCGGCACAAATAGATGAAAGAAGCACAGTTTACTGTCATATTTTATTTCCAGCAGAGGAACCCCAGGGAAAGCATTGTCTGTCATGCGATTCTATAATAAGAAGAATGAAAAGAATAATTCACACAACGTTCATGTGAAATCTCATGATTGACTTAATAAATTAACTTATAATTATCATAATTAATATGATTAAAACGTTCATCTGTTTTTTTGTATAAAGCTGCTATCTTTGGAAGCTAAAGCATTCTAAACGTAGCACAAACAAGTTTTCCATCAAATTCCTCAGCAGTTTCTGGTGCATTGATTAGTAGTACACACGTTAGAGTTTTAAAGGTTGATAGCCTCTCCCCAGTGTGCCGCACCTTTCCCTGTAGTCAGCAGGGAATTTTGTGATAATTATGTTAGATTCATTGTCATTATAATACATCCTAAAGGAAGAATGAATTGAAAATGACAGTGTAATTTTGCAACAGTCAGGGGATGGAGGTCTTGCCACTTATTGTTAAAATGGAACTAAAGTAAATATTCAAACTGGATGACATGAATATTGTGGTCACCACCTGTACTTGAATCCTCTAAAACACATCTGCCCCTGTGCTCATCAACATCACCTTCATGGCTGCATTATTAACAGTGCCTCGCAGTCTGCATCAAGCTCTGTTCATGCTGCAACCCCCCTTCTCCCTATCACTGTCTCATCACTGGAAGAATGACCTCATGGTCTTCTCCAGACCCTGGGGAGATTGCCCTCTCATTACATCTATTCAATCCCCTCCTGCATGTCGGCTGGGGTTGCCAAACCATGTCCAGCTTTTTATGTTCCGAAATGAATCATGCAGCAAAAATATACTGTATGTCATGCAAACTTAACTCATTGAAAATCATCTTGAGTCTTTGAAGATTGTAATTATAGAGTGCATGGTGACAGTATTAAAAAATATATACAAAAACTGGTTAGGCCCACAGCAATTGGTTCATTGTCCAACTACTTGCCTATTCATTCAAATGTGATGGCATTCTGGAACAGGATTTGCTTTTCTCAATAAGCTGATGGATATGATTTATTTATTCAGTGGTGAGAAGCCTAGAACGTGACATCACTGCCCCATGGAGACCACAGACCACAACATGCAGACTTCATCTGATTAGAAAACCTTTCTTTGTAAGAAATAATCCTGTCACCATTTGACACTTTGGGCTGAGAGCTGATCGGCTGAGGGTGGTGCGAGGCCAAAATACATGCCTTTGATAGGACCACACTATTTTGAGAGCGAGGAAAAGTTAGATGGACCATTAGTGCATTGTTCCATTTTGCTTTTCAGTGTGTACCACAGCTTTAAACAAACCTATATAAATTATATAAATTATTCAAAAAGAAACGCGACCATATGAAGTGACCTTTGTTTTTACCACCACAGCATTTTAAGTTTGTAGATTTATATCCATTGACCTGTTCAGACCCCAAACAATAAATTAACTCCAATAGACTATAAATACATCTATAGAGAGCGGCTGACTGTCCCACGGCCTCCTCATATCCATCACAGACAAACACAAGGACATAAACAGAGATATAGCACGACTCCATCAGTTTTTTATGACCGTCTATCAGAACTCTCCAGCCGCCCATCCTCTGGCAAAAGCAGAAGCAGCTGGAAATACAGAAGTCTTTGTGGACTTCATAATGAGCTCTTCAAGTGATTTGTTCTTCTCACTCTAGACATTCTTCTCTGCTTAAAGGGACCAGCGTCAACGTAAACTTGACTTAGTGCTGTAATTACGTCCAGTATAGACAATGGGGATAAATATAATGTAGTGATTGGGAGTGGGGTTGTATGTATATTTCACTTTGGAGAGACCCAAGAGGGAAAATGCAGTTAGAAGTTTGTTGATTGAGTATGTTTGGCGCCCTAGGCCCGGGAGAGATGCTGATGAGTGCGGCGCTTGCTCGCGCGCATGATCCCCCCCCGGGGCCTAGGCACTGGTGACGGCAGAGGCAGTAGGCAAGCACGCTTCGATGAGAGAAGGAGGAGGTGGGGCGGCGGAGGCTTTGCAAACTTCAGAAGGCCGGGAAAGTGGGCGTCTCCGGCTTTTAACTTGCTGTCCTGGTGGTTATTGGTGGATTAGATGTGGGCGTTTTGCTGGTGTAATGAGTAGAGGATGAGCAGGCTTGTAGATCTGGCAGCAGTGGCCGGGTCTACCACAGTGAACTTTCGCGAAGAGCTTCATCATATATTCACAATGAACTTGTTCATAGGTGTGCGAGTTACAATGATAACACTGGGGCTGCACCTAATGATACTCAAGTAATCCACTCAGTATTCCATAGACTTCTGCATTAGTTGTAAAAATTGTTTCCCCATTATTAGTGATGAAAAACATACCCCAGGGATCAATATGTGTGTACTCGTCTGGTGCACACTTTTACAAATCTATTCCAATGTAGTTTTACTGCAAATGGCAAATCTGAATATGTGCCTATGAAGTCCAACTGATTTAAGTTATACTGAGGTATCCATTGTTTTTTTTGTTTATTGTTAATTGTATCTGTTTGTATTCTAATCCTGACCAAATTATTACTTTTATTTAACTCCTAAAATGAGACCAAAAGAAGAAAGGTTTGTTTCTGTGGACTGATAGACCAACTATAATCATTGCGTATTGTGTTCTGAGATAAATTTTTCAAATAGAATAAATGACAAGGTTCTTTTGTGACGGACTAGGGCCTTTATGGCATGTTTTACATCATTTAAAGCCAAGCTTCCTCTTACTGATAACTTCCTGGCAAATCTATATTATAACTAAATTGAGACATTTATCCATATCTGGTTTTATATTTTTGTAATTTTTTCTCAGTTTGAGTCTTCACATCTCATAGCATTTCCATTTTTTGGAGTCTGTACACAGCGGCTAACAATTCAGTCAGTCCGATACTGCAACTTGCCATCACAGTGCCTGCTTTACTTCCTGGAGAGACAAACAGTTGTTTTATTGCTATTCCCAGTAATACATTTCTGCATACTTTTCACAGCTTTCAAAGATCATCGCCCCCAGATACAAAAAATACAAAAGAGCACATTGGCAGCAGGAATAAATCTTTGCATTTCAAACAATTAAATGTTTTGAGATGCAAAATGAAGAAAGTGCATGATCCTCTTCAGAAGCTGCTGTTCCAACATACACTGGGGCAAAATAGTTGTTCAAGCTCTTCAATTACGGTCCAATAATTTGAATCACTTTTACAAATCAAAGAGATGGTTGAATTAAATACTGTATTTAGCAACTTGCAACTAGTGCCACAGAAAAGAAACCAGACCAAACATTGCTGAGAATTTAAGCAAAAGACATTTATTGCTATTCCACATATTTGGTCCAAATGAAAGGCGTGTGGAGGATAAACACTGACCTGTCCTTGGACATGTGACACAGATAATAATAGTAATAATGATAATTAACCTTTATGCCTTTTTATTCATTTCTATAAAACTCCCAAAGGACAAGTTTAAACTGTCCAATGTTCTTCTGTATTTAATCAGGCCTGATATTGGTTCACGGTTGCCCACAGAAGAAAATCCTTTTGATTATATTTTTTATTTTATTTTTGAGCAATTAATTTACCATGAAATGTTAGTTCATGCACCAATGGCTCAAAATCTCACAGTTGTACCTATCATTAGCGGTGAGGGTCAGTGCGACAGTCAGTCAGGCAGCTTCTAATGTAGCTACATCATTATTCTGTGGAGAAGTTCCACCTGTCATCACGGAGAGAGTTGTCAAAGGAAATGCAAGAAAAGGTTTTAAAGTCTGTGTTTCATCAGTTCCATAAAATGTGAATTTCACATGAGAGAAACTCGAAGTAGACCTGCTGCTCCTTCACTTCTAGTCGCACCAGTTGAGGTGGCTCGGGCATCTGTTTTTGAAGGCTGCTGGCCCACTCCCTGGGGAGGTGTTCTGGCCATGACCACTGAGAGGAGACCAGAGCAAGACCCAGGACACGCTGTCATGGCTGCTCCCTCCCCTGCTTCTCCTGGAGCTGCCTCCCAAAGCAGGTGTGTAGGAGAGGCTGATCAGGCCCAGCTGCCTCCAGTCGACAATCGGGCCTCAACAAGAGCTCCAGAACCCAGCTCATCGGTGCCAGTTCGTAATCTGTGTTGCAGTATGTTTAGTGGGCCTTTTGTAGTCGCCCTAGTTTCCCTTGTACTTACCTTTTTTTTGTTCTGCCTCAGACCTCCGTTCCGCACCACCTGCTCCCCGCCCAGCCCCGCCTGATCCCAGCACCAATCCCGGCTCGCCTGTGTTTTGAGTTTTCATATTTTTGTTCATTAAACCTTTTTTGTTGTCCCTGCATTTGGGTTCTTTGTCCGACTCGTAACACACGCTATGTCTATGTTTTTCAGCTGGCCTGGGAACACCCTGGGATTCCCAAGGATGAGCTGGAGAAAGTCTGTGTGGATTGGGCATCTGCGGCCTCTGCGGCCTGGCATTTGATAAAATTGAAGATAATATATTGATGGAAATTTACAGGTGACATCAAACAAATCGGCAACAACACAAAGACAACATTTTCATTATAAAAATTGCTCAAATGTCCCACACAAAAATGAGAAGCGATAAAATCAGTGGTGGCTCACACACCTCTGGCCTGTTCGAGGGGTCATTTTCACATCACCTTGCGGCTCTGCACTCTGCACTCCTCTCTCTGTGTACCAGGACAAAGCACACATGGGTCGGCATCCCACACGCTCAAGGTGGACCTCGTGAGCACCACCAGCCTCCATAGTACTTGCGATTCTCCGTACAGGCACAATCCTCATCCTCTCTGGCGTGTGCTCTGTGTGGTTCCCCAATAAACCACCCGAACCCGTTACCCCCCCTCCTCCCATGTCCTCCCGTGTCCGTGTGTCTGCTTGCCCGGCTGCTGCAATAGTTTCTCTGCAGGTCCTGTTCTGGGGTCGTCAAGGCAACAAGGAGAGCCCGAATCAAATTAATTAAAAACACTGCCAAGCCATAAAGCATGTAGAGCTAAAAGATAAATATAACGCCATATCCTCGTGTCTGTGCAACTTTGCTTGTTCCTTTGCTTGTTTATTTGTTCACTTCAACAAAACATCTTGAGTTGCGCTAATATTTTTTTACAAAATCCATGTATCCCATTTTCCTGGTTTCTTTGTGGTGATCTGACAATGTACTTGCTGCATAATGACAAATTTATATGAACGAAAAAGTGCATTTGAGATGAAAGACTTGGAGGAAGCAGTGTCTGTCATCACCTTTTTAGCACGGCTCATATATCTAGCCTACAATTAATTTCACCCTAGTTGAGAACCTTTATAAATATGCAGAGGGGCTATGTGATAAAAAAAAAAATGCAAGGCAGGAGGACTCTTTGAAACAAGATCAGATGAAGACAAATCCTGATGGCTTTTATAATTGACCACAAGGCGACGATATGGGACTACCGGAGCTCTTAGCCTAACAATTTCAGAATTATAGCAGCTCCTCCAGACATCCTCATCCATCCTATTACACACGTGGTGTAAAAGACAGACAGGCCATGCTTCATAAAAATGTTCACCCCCATTTCAATCTCCGCTTTTCAATATTCAAGGGGTAATAGTGTAACGTGCCGCTGTTTGACTGAGAGACTTTATATGCACTTCAAAGACTTTCTCGTCTATCAAGTACCTATGAGGCTCATTTCTGATGCTGATCCCATACACAGACAATTTAAGTTCCAAAAATATATCATACAAACTTACAAGAGGAAATGATTATAAACGCTGAGACACCCAGTAAAAGTACCACAAAAACAAGAAAAAAACAGTTAGTTGAAAAGCAACCAACTGGTGGCAAGTAAACAGCGTGTTGCCATGGTTACAAACACTCTCTCCTCTGTAAGCTGAGTCAGGACCAGTATCAGAACAAGGGTTTTTTATTGCCATAGAAAGTTGGTCCGAAAATTGGAAAAATAATAAACTACATATAGAAATACTTCCAAAATGAAACTGTCAAGGTGACTGGTCTGGGAGTGGTCTAACATCATTCTGGCCTGTTCAGTTTTGAATGGGATCTATGCACGCACCACTTCCGCGTTTTAGTTATAACCCCACTTGACTTCCTGTGCGCGGGGAACGGCTTGAGTTTCCATGGAGTTCAGCAGTGGTTTACACGAGTTTCCTAAATAATGCTCAAACGGGAATTAAACTGTGAGGATACTGGGCATTTTTGGGACACGGCAGTGCTTTTTGATTGTGTCATTGTGCTTTTATAAAGTTAACTAATCTCTCTGAGTGGCCACAGTCAAAGCTCTTCCTCAGAAAGCACGTCGACACTTTTGGGTCAGTCTCACAGCTGAACGTATCAATCTAATTACAAAAAAAACGTCACTACAACTTACCTAAAAGCCAGAGGGATAGCATAGACAGGAAGTGAACGGGCTGGTCTTTGTTAACAGGAAATGACGTCACGTCTCCCCGTGCATATAGCCCATATGAAGTCATTGGACCGGTTCATCTCCTTTATAATATTTTCTCAAATAATACTTTTTTTTATTTGAGAAAAACCTTTGAAAAGACTTCCTCCAAATCTGTTCATCTGAATAGAAATAGCCTGTATACATGCTTCTCCTTTTCACTTTTCTGCCTAAAATATTTGTGAAAGAGGCCAAGAATGTGAAAATAAGTGATAGAACCAAACTGTTTTGAGAGCAAGAGCCCAGCTTTAATTTAGAATATCCTTCTGTATATGCTGAATTTCAGGTTTTGCATTTAACCTCACAAAAATAGTTGTTCTTTCAGCTTGTCAAAAAATATATACATACAGATGCATAAACTCACCAACCCAAACAAGACGTTAACTATTGTCAACTATTGTCAATTCATGTTTCTTCTCCCAATTTCACCAGAATGAACATAATTCATCTCCCTAATGTAATCAAGACAATTGCGAAAACAAAATTATGCAACACTTTGCCACCATCCAATAAAAAATAATCGACCCGCATGTCCTCGCCATTCAACCCCATTTGCCTCCTATTCCCATGATCATTTACAAAGAATTAATTGAGACTGTTGCTAATTTCAGCTCCGTTGCCCGTCTTCTCCTCAGGCAGTGGGGTTCTTCCTCTCATTCCTCCCAGTCAGCGGAACGCACATCTATTTCTCCACATTGACTCCAGGAAGAAAAAAAAAAGAAAAAATCCCTCCACGCTGAAATCGAGAGGGACTTGTGTGGAAACGAATCTTACACCGTCTGCTGGTGTTTCAAAGCTCCTGGCACTCGGCGCTCTCTCCTGTGGTCGCTGGTTCTGTGGCGTCTTGCAGTTTTATGAAAGGTAATATGAGCGTTTCTAGAGGGAAATATAACAAAGGATGCTTCTAAATACAAAAGGGCAGGCGTGCTAATCTTAAGGCGGTATTGTGATGACGGTAATAGCGTTGGAGGGATAGTGAGTCATCCCGGTTCACAGCACGAGCCCCTGTTGTCTGTGTATTTCTTCGCCTGATAAAATGTAGAAAAAATACTCCTGATACAGTATGTGCCGTATACCCATACAACATGAACAATCATTTCATTCATTCTTTTCCCCCCCTTTATTAATCCATTTCTGGGTCGAGAGAGTGGCAATCAGAGCTGCCACCCAATGCATATAGCCCTGGTCCGTCGCTGATCCTCCTGCAGGTGGTGGATTTACCGATGGATAGCTGCTCCTTCAGGGATGATACAGCCTTGGTCTTTCATCGGGGCTTTAGGCAAAGTGGAGTTAAGTGTCTTGCCCAGGGACGCAACTTGTCAAGGAAAAACTCTAAAAACCCATGGGAGAAAAGTGAGAAACCTTGGGGAGGCCCACATTGAGGGAGGAGCTATAGATCCAGGACTCAGTTGTCGTCCAAACTGAAACAATCACACAATCGACACAAGTCATTCACATGAGTTAACCTTGTCCCTTTCGCCATGTTTTCCATTTGATTACCACTTTTTTACCCCCTTGCTGCATAGCCGTCAACACCTCGGCTGTTTTGGTTGATAGGTTTATCTCTCTGTCAAGCTGTGCACATTAGGCCCGCCCACTGAAAATGCCCCATGGCTCCAGAAGGGACAGAGAGTTTTCTGGCTTGTCAGGCTTCCTCTCTCGTTCGTACGCCAAAGTCAGTGTGACATTGGTTTTGAAGTGTGCCCTGGACATCATGATATCAGCATTACAGTGACATGGGCAACACAGAATGAGATTGTGCTTGGTGCAGTGAAAACCTGTATAATGTCGTGTCATTATAACGGTCTCATTTTCAAGAGTTCGTATTTAGAATGATAGACATTTTTCACTTTTCTCTAGAGAACCATTTTTTCCGCCACAGTAGTAAAACTGTTGTAACAAAACTATGCATTCAGACACTTTGACACATTCTACTCTCTGAGTGCAGTGTAAGCCAGGCTTGAGACTTTTGGTTTGTTGGTGAATGTCTTGACGAGAGCCCAAAAAATCAGCTCTATTAAAGTGACTCTTGTATCATTTCAGCCGGTAGCAAACATTGCACTTTTTGTTTACAGCATGAATTGAGGTTGAAGCCGGACATGGTGCTCTTATATCACAGCTTGTTGCCGAAATATCTGCCGTTCAACCTTCACTTTGGGATCATGTTGCAGCGATATGTATTAAAACGGCTTTTCTCGAGAACTTTTGCCAATAAAAAAATGTTCCAATCAGACAATAGGCCACGTTTGAATTGAATCAAGTGAGTGATGAAAGGTCAAAGATGGTTAATAAACAATTACAGTGTGTGTGTGGGAGTTGGTGGTTTTCATAGGGGACGGTTAAGAAAAACAAATTCACAGTGAAACTCAGATTTTCATACAGATACAATATTCCTTTTATGTGATTCTGGCCCAATGAAATGTACTGTGTTTCAAAAACTCTCGCGGGTCATACCTTTCATCTGCTTTTGTATGAATTTAGAATGAAAAGTGAAAGTTTTTATTGTGAGTTGAAGGTTCTGGTCTTTAGTTTTCAGTTTTCAGTTCGGGGAAAGGCACTCAACAATAACGTACATATATATATATATACCTGTTAACTCCATTTATTATTCTACAAGTGACCTTCTACAGTGACCTGTCCCAGTGGCAGCAGCACACAGCAACAAAATCAACTTTATAGTGGAATTATTAAATTTCCCTTTTTCATCACACACGTCCCCCTACCCCATCTGTTTCATCCCTCTTATTATATGACACAGCAGGAAGGTTCTGGGTTTGATTCTCCGGAGTGGCAGGTCAGTGTGTGTGTATTTGCGTTTTTATGATTAAGATGGGTTGGAGCAGTGCAAGCGTCTGCTCCATTCGACCCGATTCACAAACTGTGTATTTTTATTCATTTTGTATCCTGTTCAAAGTTCAAGGTCATCTTTATTGTCCGACTAGGAGAAATTGGTTTTTCATCGATCAATTATCTAAAAAATAGGCAGACTCAGTAAAATCACAACATTGAAAATAACAAGAATAGTAGAGGATGTCACAAAGCTATAGTTTCAGTGAAAAAGTGCTGTAAAATGCAATAGTATGTACAAAGTGCTACGTGTCTGTCAAACTGTGCTCTCAGGGCGTGGTCCAAAGATCCAATGATGGAATTGGCCTTTCTGAGAACCTGCGCACTGTACATGTCTCTGAGCTGAGCCTGTGATCTCCCAGACACCTACAGTAACCTGCCACTTCAACCAGACTACCGAGTCTGGCTTGGTTTGCCAGGGACCATGCTGTGATACAAAATGTTAAAACAGATTCAATAAAACAACGATAAAACAAATGTCTCATGACACCTTGGTGTTCATGCTCCTAAGAACGTACTCTGATGCACTTTTTTACAGACTGCATTGACCAAGGGCTCAAAGCACAGCTTTGGTCCACAATAACTCCCAGATATCTGTACTTAAGATCAAATGTATAATATATTTTTGTATTATATTAACTTACATTTAAGAGACAATGCTTTCCATCATAACAGTTTCATAATACCGCACATGGGTGATTATTCTTAGTCTTAATCTATTGAGATCTTCATCATTAGAAGAGTTTGGTGGTTAATATAAAGTTATGAGAAACATTTATTTAAAATCTGTGCAAAGTGGTGAAATGTTTCTGCAATATTTAATTTTTCTTAGGATTGAGTTTGACTTTTATAAAATGGTAAAAATGGATTGGTTTTCTCAATCTGCCGAGAGCCGCACTGGCACATAACTGACAGCTCCAATGTTATGGCCTTCAATAGGAAATCAACAAAGCTCTCCAGTCGACAGGGCAGCCCACAATCTGCTTCATTTTTCAACGAGCTCCTTACTCCTACACCAAGGACCCCAGGAAAATAAAACCAGAAAATACCATGTGAAATACATGTTGTAAAGTATCAAATCACAGAAATGTTGAATGGAATATGCCTGAAAGAACCAGAGAATATGAAATTACAGCTGGTTGACAGTCATCTACTTCCTTCAAACAGTGTCTGGATGAATCACTTATTTTCAAACTTGTCATATTTCATTTTAATATTTGAGAAAAGAAAAAAAAAGTTGTCAAAACTGCGACTAAAGCTTCTGTGATTGAAGACAATGCTCAATTTCCTTTGTGTTAAGTTTTGCATGAATAATGCAAATAAACTCTTTATCTTTGAATTTCTTTCCACACTTATGTTATCTCTCAAATCTGAAAGTGCTTTTTTAAACCAAAAGTCTCAGAGTGCAATCACAATAGATTGTGACATCACAACCAAAGAGCTGACAGGCAACAATGAGATTTATTATCTTAATTTAGATGTAATTTCTAAACTTAGAGGTAAAGACCAGTTCTTGTTGTGTGTGGATTAGCCCAAACCAATCCACACCAAACAAGAACTGCACAAAGTTCCACATTTTGTTTGTCAGTACATATCACTAAATACAGTAGTCTATTTTCTCATAAAGGTGTCTAGAATTGGTGACAATATGAAAAAAATTATTCATGTTTTTAATAAAAACATGAATAGTTTTGGCCGGTGGAAAGAGCTTTCAGAATAACGGGTTTGTGAATCTACATACTGTCGAATAATTGATTGTTATCTATAATTCACAGCTGCTGTTCATGTTTGCGCACTGTTCTTACCAAATAAACAAATATACATTATCAAAATGGCTTTCAAAAATATTTTCCTTGTTGTTACGTCCAGCTCAGCTAGGGAGTAAGAACGTAGCAAAAAACCAGATGGAATTGGCATTTGTCCATTTTAAAGTAAGTTTTTAATGATGACAGAAAATAAAATGAATTGGGAAACAAAGGAGGAATACAGAAATAATAATAATATTGATAATACAAAACGAAAGTCACTATACAAAACTAGAGCTCAAAATTACAAAGTGACAACGTAAGGGAACAGAACAATACAGGAGGAGCAGTGACGGCAGACTGGCACGGACAAGTCCAGCTGCCCCGAGCTGACGGCAAGTGGGAGGTTTTATGGGGACGCCCTCAGTGATGGATCCCCGGGGTTGGAAGACGTCCACGCTCTTGTCCCACTACAGCCACTCAGGTGTCAGACCGGCCACGCCCACACTTCAAGTCCCTCCAATAGATCTCCCGCACAGACACCTGTACAGAACACGAAGGCGCACACACAAACACAAAGGGCAACGGGAGCGCCATCTAGTGCACAACTGGCACAATAGGTCGTTGCCCGTAACACTCCCCCCCTTAAGAGCGAAACTACTCATTTTCAATAAACACGGTCAAGTAGCCAATTGGAACTACGGTAATAACCAGGGGGTACTATAGCGATGGACTGTCAAAACCTGGACAGGGCATCGGCCAACACATTTTCCACTCCTTTCTTGTGACGGATTTCGAGATGAAAGTCCTGCACCATCAGAGCCCACCTCATCAACCGCTGATTATGGTTAAACATGCGGGACAAAAAGACAAGAGGGTTATGGTCTGTAAAAACCAACACAGGCAAAGAACTCGACCCAACATATACCTCAAAATGCTGAAGAGCGAACAACAAAAACTTTAAACTGGAGAACGCATGGTCACACTCCTGCGACCAAACAAAATCAATCTTGGGACTGAGCAAACGAGTCCGTGGCAGAATAATTGGATTTACGCTTAAGAGCCAAACAGTTAGAGATGACATGTCCAGGTTTGTGACAGTAAAAACACTCCCGTTGCTCTTTGTGAACGGGTGGCGTGTTGGCAGACCTACGAATTGGCTCTGAGACAAAGGACCGGTTATTCGCCGTACCAAATGTGGTCCTATGAGTCAGGGCGAATTCATCAGCCAACACCGCGGCCTCCTGTAACGTGGTAACTTTCTGTTCACTCAAATACATAACAACTCTCTCCGCTAAATTATCTTTGAATTCCTCCAACAAAATTAATTCACGCAAATCACAAAATGAATTAACTTGTGATGAAGTGCACCATTTCTCAAATAAAGTGTGTTTCTCTCGGGCAAACTCTACATAGGTCTGGTTTGGGGCCTTCTGGAGGCCTCTGAAGCGCTGCCGGTAGGCCTCAGGGACCAGCTGATACGAACGTAAAATAGCAACTTTAACAGACTCATATCTCATGCTTTCCTCCAAAGACAGAGCAGCAGAAACTTCCTGTGCTTTCCCAGTTAACTTACACTGGAGCAATGTGGACCAAAGCTCAGGAGGGCAATTTATAGCCTGGGCTATGCGTTCAAAAGCAGAAAAATAACTGTCAATTTCAGACTCACGAAAGTTAGGAAAAAGCGAAGCATATTTACTCACATCAACAGGTTGGACCGGACTGTGGGCTGGCTCAACAGCAGCAACGACCCGGCTAGGGTTAAGAGGAAGACGGCCTTCTGCCTCCAGCTCGAGCCGCCGCATTTTCAGCGCAGTCTCGGCCTCGATCTCAAGTTTCTTGAGTCGGTATTGAAGTTCCATAGTCGCTTGCCGCTCCCTCTCCCTTTCCTCCGCTTCCTCGTCCAGGCGCTCCACAGGTACTCTGTGCCGCGTAGGAACCTGGGGGAAACGGGACGGGCTACCCAGCGAGTGGTCCCAAGAGAAGCGGGTCGGGTGATCAGGCCGGCCTCTACTCTCAGACACACCGGGTGGAGAAGATGACGTTGTCAGCCTCTCCTCTGCTTTGGGAGGGACGCGTGCTGTGGATGGACAAACTTCCGGGCCCAATACCAGAGAGGTTGCCTCGGGACGCTCCGAATGACCAGCAACGACCTCCACCTCAAGCCTAGGAACGTGCATGCCGCCATGCTCCACCAGCCAGGATGCAACAATATGTTTCAACTCTGCTTTCTTTAAGTTTTTGTCCACTTCAATTTGGCACAGGTCTGCAATATCAACTAACTCAGTTTTCTTAAATTTATTCAACTCCTCCTCTGTAGGATGTGATAAAAATCTGTCAAAGTCAGCCATATTAAAAGTTTGCACGGGAACACCTGAGAATATTGCGCACGACAATTCACTTATTAAATCTACCAAAATTTGGTACCTACTTCTTTTAAATGAACATGGGAAAAGGATTTTCCGATCCCGGACGAGCCCCCAATTTTGTTACGTCCAGCTCAGCTAGGGAGTAAGAACGTAGCAAAAAACCAGATGGAATTGGCATTTGTCCATTTTAAAGTAAGTTTTTAATGATGACAGAAAATAAAATGAATTGGGAAACAAAGGAGGAATACAGAAATAATAATAATATTGATAATACAAAACGAAAGTCACTATACAAAACTAGAGCTCAAAATTACAAAGTGACAACGTAAGGGAACAGAACAATACAGGAGGAGCAGTGACGGCAGACTGGCACGGACAAGTCCAGCTGCCCCGAGCTGACGGCAAGTGGGAGGTTTTATGGGGACGCCCTCAGTGATGGATCCCCGGGGTTGGAAGACGTCCACGCTCTTGTCCCACTACAGCCACTCAGGTGTCAGACCGGCCACGCCCACACTTCAAGTCCCTCCAATAGATCTCCCGCACAGACACCTGTACAGAACACGAAGGCGCACACACAAACACAAAGGGCAACGGGAGCGCCATCTAGTGCACAACTGGCACAATAGGTCGTTGCCCGTAACACTTGTATTGGTAGCAACCCTCCAACTGAATTAGAATTCTACAACATGAACACAACCTTTTCTGTTCCAAAGGTGTAACATTACATCATTGTCAGAGCTGACTCTCTCAATGTTGGACTTTTTACCTTTCGGCTCCAGCAGCGGAGCCAACCAGCTCTTTGGATTCTTTTTGTGACTTTTGGATGTAAAACATGGCAATCACGCAGTCAGGACCAAAAGGACTGAGACCAGAGGGACTGGGACCAAAAGGACTGAGACCAGAGGGACTGGGACCAAAAGGACTGAGACCAGAGGGACTGGGAGCCACACCCTGACACTTTGACAAACTTATTTCATTATAAGACAAGCTGAGGCGAGTCCACACAACTGACAATGCTTTAAAACGTGGCATCTGTTTGTGATCTCCAGCTCTGAACGGTTTTAAACTAATACATTTCCCCATAACAGTAAGGTTTTTGTCACTATAATGGGCCATATTCCTGTGTGATGATAATTCATTAAAGTTAAAATCAGTCTTTATCTGCTGCTGTGACTGTCTCCCAATCGAGTTAAAAAGTATTGTGAATATGCCCTATACAAGTTGCCTTTTTTTCATAAGTCGACCTGGAAAATCACATTATTTTATGAACGTACACACGCTTAAAGCCCCATGTAAAGGAAAAGTAAAAAGATTGCGATTACATGTTTTAATTAGAACCCTGCACATGGACTCTCCTACATGAAACAAACTTGCCTTGTCTGCATTAATCACTCTGTTTCAACTTTGGTATATGTGAAGAGAAAGAAATGACACCACTATTTAAAGTGTGTTCAACCTTCAATGAAACCTTCAAAAAAATGGGTTCTGGTTGGATTATAATGGCTGTAGTGATAAAATGTGAACATTCTTTGTAAAACTCAAATAAGCAGTTAAAGTGGAAATTGACACCAGGAGACATGGTTTTCAGTGCTCACCTCTGAATTTAAACGAAGCCTGCTGTTCGTGCAGCAACCCACCTCCTCCCCATCACCGCCTCTTCAGTGGAGTGATCATCATGTTTTTGACTAAGATTCCTTCGCCACCGGGGTCAAGGCCAGAGGGGTTTGCACGTTCTTTCTATTAAATTCCCTCCTGCATACTTTGTGGTGTAGTCTGCAAATCTTATCAATCATTTCAGGTTCAAATGCAACAGATGTATCAGTGCCACATCAGGCGTTTGTCGGGTCTAACTGTCTAATCATGCAAAAAACATTACAATACATTTCTTCCTAATGCATCTTTGTCTTGCTTCTTTTCAGATCGAATGAGTTGTAATCTTTTCAACCCATTATCCATTGAGCACTTTTCCAAACAGTTCCACCCATTCATTATTTTCTTTGCACATGGCATTAGCTTAAGCCTAACAAGCTCCGCTGAGTTTACAGAAAAGCACTAAAATGAAACCAATACATTGTTATTATTATTCATAAATTCCCAGCATATTTCTTTCTGATATCCCCAAAACATGTGAGCATTATGTGTATAGAGATTAACTGCGCTGGAACCATGGCTCAGTGGCTCAGTTGGTAGAGCATTGGCCTTTGAGTCCGAAGGTTGTGGGTTCGAGCCCACCATGAGACCTTCTCCACCGACTCCACTGATGTCTGCTGTCGTTGTGTCCTTGAGCAAGACGCTTAACCCACTTTGCCTATAAGAAGCGCAGAAGTGATGTTTGCTGCTACACAGTAGGTTAACCCAAAGCTGTCTAAAGTTGAATATATTCTAATTCACTTTAATGAAAATCCAACAACTCCACTATCAGTATCAAACTGAAATTTCCCCATTGTGGGACAAATAAAGGACTTTCTTCTTCGTCTATACATTCATCATATTCATATAAATTATTTAGACTATGCTAATGGTGGACACAGATAACAAGTTCACGTATAAAAACCATACCAAGTCTGTTTGAAACAGAGGAGGCGGTTTACAACATCATGAATACTGTATTTAAATCAGTATTCCGTGAACGCAGAGGTTGAGCAGCTAAGGAGGCGTTCACAATCAAACATTACCGTGGATATTCACGGGAACTTATTGTGAGGCTGAAGTGTGCAAGTATTGTGTTGATTTTCTTTTTATCATATATTTTTTCATAAATTGTCTTGCATCCTAATAATGAATCATAGTGGTGGGCGGTACATCATCAAAATATCAAAACTTACCGCAAGGTCAAACACTGCCAGATCCACACTTTTGAACAGAAAATATTAATTTGAATTTGTTGCTCTGTATTTAATATCAATATGATTTTTGTTTGCATTAATATGTAATAAAAAAAATCACTTAAAATGGAGGTCGAGTGAGAATAATGAGTCTCAATTGGGCTGAGATAAATTACTAGCGGTGTTCTTTCATACTGGTAGCAGCACAGAGGGATCCCAGGCGGTGTGGATCCCAGACGAGCCAGAACACTCCATTTTACACTGAATATACATTATATACAATTATGAGTGGGCCTGGATTTGTCACAATTGAAGTGAGAAATTAAAGGACCGATATGTAAAAAAACTAGACATCAAAACTATACAGCAGCAGAGGTGAAACTGTCTTTTGTTGTGGTTTTTAATTGCAAGTAGCAAATTATGGCGTCAAAATAGGGTCTGCTTAAACGTAACCGTAAAGCAGGAATTGTAAACGTAGGTTGTAAGTATTGTAAACATAAAAAAAATATTGTAAACGAAAAAACTGTAGCGTAACCGTAAAGCAGGAATTGTAATCGTAGGTTGTAGTATTGTAAACATTAAAAATATATTGTAAATGAAAAAAATTAAAACTTACATTTACGGTTCTGATTTTTCATGTTTCGCTTCAAAAGTTACGTTTACGATTCACAAGTTACGTTTACGATTCACAAGTTACGTTTACGATTCACAAGCTACGCTTACGAGTCAAAACTTACGGTTACGATACATTTTTCATCTGACCCCTTTTTGGAGGGGCGGGCTCAGCGCGCCCATTGGCTGGAGACACCGGATGTTACGTCATCACAAAAACAAAACACACACCATTCAAAATTCAAGTCTCGTTCGAACTCTCTACATCGTATGATTGATCACATTTTTTCAACTGGGCTGGCTATTATAGGCTTTCACGTGGTATGTGCACTCTTGTGGACACCCTAATTATACCAGGTCATGTTTAGATCGTGTGAAATATGCTCTCGTGATAACGTCATATGCCTATGTTGCCCCAAGGCTAGCCAGCTAAGCTACACCTCGGGACCTTCACCACCACTGTACGTTGTTCACACTGAATGCTTTGTCATGTCAGGATTATCTACTGCTATCAAAGGTGAATAAAACTATGTCTTTGATTTTTTGTTTGCTTATTATTTACATAATTATAGCGGCTTACCTAATGAGCCCATGCTAGCTAGCAATGAATTTTGTCAGTCCATAACCTGTACATAAAGTTTTGAAACAAATGAGGTAACTAGCTGAATGATTAAACAAATCTGTGAAACTTGCTAAATAGTACGTTCCATTGGCTTCATGATATCTTATCAAAATTAACTTAAAGTTAAGTAGCTCAAATCGGGGCTAACCTGTTAAGGCCATTAATTTTACGATATTTGGCTACTGTACCTGTACTGTGTTTGCTAATTTAGGATGGTTAAGATTCCTAAAATCACACAGAAACTCTGTTTAGTTCTGATCTTGCAGGTTATCTCTGCGATGGGCACCAGCACCACACATTGCAGACCAGCAAGATGTAAAACTGTGGTTTTATAATAATCTATATAAATGTGATGTATTTTCATGTCTTAGGGACCAGGTCTGCAAATTAAGTGCTAGCTATACAGCCTATGAACATGGTATCGGCCACCTGTATCAATACTTTTAGTTCTGTGCCTATCAAATAAAACATATAATAGCACTTATTCTCACAGAACAGTGGGTTGTAGATAGGAGTAAATGGCTGTCTGTTACCTGGCCTAATATCTTTAACTTCCTCATCCAGACATACAGTGTTTATACATGACTGACCTCCTCCAGATCTCCACACCTGCCCGCTCCCTCCGCTCCTCCTATCCTCTCCAGCTCTTGGTCCCTCCTGCCCCTCTGCTCCTCCTATCCTCTCCAGCTCTTGGTCCCTCCTGCCCGCCTTTTCACCATGTGGAAGAGAGCTTCTCCAAATCCACCCTCAAA